GCAGAGACTTGGACAATAATGAAGGCTAAAAAGCCAAAATAGAAGTATTTGAAGTATGGTGTTGGAGAAGAGCGCTAAAAATTTCATGGACAGAAAAGATAAAAAATGATGAAGTTTTCAGGAGAATGAATACCCAAAAATCAATATGGAATACGCTAAGACTGAGGAGGAAAGTATGGATCGGACACGTAATAAGGAATAGTCCTTGGATAACTACAATAATAGAGGGAAAAATCGAAGGAAAACTTGGGATCGGAAGGCCCAGAACCCCATTTCTAAAGCAAGTGATGGAAGATACTAGAATAGGAACATACTGGGAGATGAAGAGGATTATAAGGATTATTTAATCTTTCATTCAATCTTTCAATCATTCAATCTTCAGATTGATCAAAAAAGAAAAAAAAATTAAATCCTCACTGCATTTCAGATGTCAAATCGATATATTTATTATCCGTGATGATAAATTATCTTAGGATCAGATTTTCGTGGTACTATGTTTTTTAATTTAAATTCTTACAACACCGACGACATTCCCCGGGAAATATTACGACGAATGGATTCATCTCATGGGTTGGACGGAATGAAATGTCTGCGTTAGTATTGCTAGTTGTGACATTGCACCACGAGCACTACGTATAGTAGGTTCTCGGACGATGCGCCCTGTTTCTCTGTTTTCAGCTTTTTTATACGATGAAGGACAACCATCTCGACGTGTGTGAATGCTGTCGATTATTTTGTAATAAAACCAATTAAATACCTCAACCACGGAGTAATTAATTTTAATTATACATATCCGTGATGAAATCACCCGGTTGGTAGGTACTCATTTTTTTTTTTTTTAATTAGACAATGGTGACCGCTGTGTATAATAATTGAAAATGTATAACATTCATTTGAATTATAACCATTAGACTTCATCATGATTTTTCATGATGATTAATATTAATTGAGATGTCCGTTCGACCACACATTCTTCATGGTCATGGATGATCGATATCGATAGAATGTATACAATTAAATATCGTTTTATACATAGTCACGCAAATGGTCTGTAGCTCCTTCAGCCCGTTTATTTTTCAAACATTATCCGTAAAAAATTATCTTCGATACAACTTATTGTTATTTAATCATCATTCAGAATATTAATTATTAAGGTAAAATTAATATGGGGTGTTCCAGTATTTTTTCAGTACAGGCCATGATTAGCGATTTGTGTATTGAACAATTTTGAGTATTGATGATTGTAGAATTTTTTTCTTAGCGAAGTCATCAGCTAATTTAATTTGAGAGAGTTCTACATATTCAAGAGTCGGGCCAAAAAATATTAGTTAAGCTCTACTAACAGTGTTTACCATTAAAAAAAAATATTTAAATTAAAATTACATATTTTAAAACAATGACTATTAATAGTAAAATACAATTATCAGGGAAATAAGTGTATTTATTGATGCCTGTTATAAAATATTTTGTAAATAAAATATGTTTATATATATATTATTTTGTAGATAATATAGTACACGACATAATATAGGTACCTAATTATTTATTAATCATTTTTAATGAATTTACCGTGACAATTACTAGAAATCCGTCAACTCTCAGCTCTGATCTGAATAATTATTTTATTTCCACTTATACACACATTACCACCTTTATAGTTAATTATTCTCTTAATCATGTATAGAAATTACAACAATTCCAGCTGAGTTATGTATGCTCTACTATCAAAAAAGCTATAGATTATGTACGGACCAAATAATTTATCAAAACGTGTTAAATATGTATTCATGAATCATATAAAATAAAAATAAATATCATATTAAGTCGTTTTACTTAATTTTTACAGTTTAAAACACTTAAAAATGTAGTTTTTTGTTATAATAGTAACGTATTTAATGTACTTTTTTCTTCATCAACAGTAATCGTTTTTTAGAAAAGTGTAGAAAATTTTTTTTGTTAGTTAAGTATTGCAATTATTTTTGAGTGAACAAGATTATTTTTTTAAAGATATGCACATAGAAAATAAAAAAAAACACCAGGAACACAATAAAAAAAAACTATTACTTTAAAATTGTCATTAATTTCAAAAAAGCGATGAATTCCATATGCTAAATTTGTGTTGAGATTTAGGCATAAATTAGATATAATTATAATTAATTACAAGCCAAATTATCTTATATCATATGTGGTCAGTTTTTCGTTTTATATTTAATGATTTCTATAGACACTGGGACAATAATGTACATATTGCTGAAGAGTGGTATAAAAAAAACACATTAATTTCTTCTTATCTCGGGATTCATAAATATATTACATAAAAACAGACATAAAACATCATTATCATCATCATCGTTATCTATCGCAGATATAACTCTAAATTAAAAAAGTATTTTATATGTGATTCTATCTTTGTTCAATTTTTTTTCTATATAAAAGATATACTAGACGAAAATTTCAGTGCAAAATTACATGAACATTTAAAAAAATAAAATAAAATAATAATAAAGTATACATATTTTTGATTTATTCAGAAGCAATTTATAACAAACGCAATTTTTATATTAATGAATTCATATCAATTCCGTAATAATCATTAATTCCTAGTTTCTCATAGCTGCTGTTTAGTTTAGCCATAATTTGGTTTTTAAAAATTATAAAATCTATTAAATTGTGTTTGCCTTCATCCAATAGTTTTATAAATTGCTGATATCTTCATAAAATACAATTTGATTTTGATCGTTTATAATATTGGAAATATATATCACTTTATGCAATTATATCTGTTTCCATTAATATACATAAACATTATTAAACAAGTCAATAAATATTTATTTAAATATTTATTCAATATAAGGAATTAAACACGTACATTTTTATAAATGTTTATCAAAAATTAGCATGTACTTACTTATAAATCAATTGAATTTGTATATACTTTTAAAATGTAATTTAACTATTGGTTCCAAATAGTTGTTCTGATGCAATAATTTGCATTCAATGATAATAAGATATTTATGTGCCATACAATAATATCAAAACCCCCAACCCAATAACAATTCCAAACTCATGAGTTCCTAACAGAAACTAAACTTATAAATAAAATGTAAACCTGTATAACACACAATACGTCCAATTTTATCTTTTTTTTTTCTTCTCTTTTTACTATCTGTACCATATTAAAATCTTATTCTATGTAATCATAAAAATACCAATTATAATAATGTTTAATAATAAATGTAATAATAAATAATGATATAATCATATTAATGTATGTATAAATATACCTAAAATGTTGTGTGTCCAATGGCCACAGATGCCGTAGATATTTTATATAATAAATATAAAAATATTATAAACGCATACAATAATTGATAAAATTCAAGTTTCACATTAAAAATATCATCTTGTATAGAAAAAAACAATATGTTTTCTATATCCCTCTTATTTTATAAACACATAATAGTTTACAATATTATATGAGATATATCTCTGAATAATTGCATTATTATAATATGTAATCTGCAATAACAACAATATGTTATCGTCATCTGTCATGATATAAATGAGTGATTTCATTAGTGTATTAATATCATTGATCATAATCATAACCTATTGTAATACTCTCAAAGGGTCATTATATTATTGTAACTATGTTATATACTAATAGAATTGATTTGGTAATTCAGTATTCAATAAGATGTAAATATGAAAAATCACATGATTTTGTTTCTTTTCGATCGATAAATTATCTATCACTCAATTCCTGTTCTTGTATTGGTTTAAAAATAAATACTATTTATTAAAGTGTAAGTGGATTATACAATATTTTTTGTTTTTCCTTTGTGGTGTGTACACAATTTGATACGTGAGTAGGCCACACACAGTTATCCATGTAAGAAGCATGAATTTTCAAAATTCAGTTCATACACTTGTTTTAATTGTCCTTGTAATTTGCTAATGATCATTGAAAAAGCGAGTCGCACTGTAAACTGCAAAAGTTTGAATTCCAATGGCTTATCTGTTGGAGTCATTGGGAAGCGTGGTAATAGTACATGTTCATCTTTAAATTTTCCGTTTAAAATTATGACTTCGATTATGTTGTTATACAGTTTAATAACATACATAATTGAATTATTAAAATCAACATATTAAAAAAATTAAATATTTCCTTGGTAATCAAAAATTGAAAAATGTATGCATCCAGTCCAAAACAGTGTCGACCCTTAAATATGCGATTTTCGAAAAATCCTTTCTTATTGCACGGTGAAAATATGAGAAAAACCTATATTCCAAATTTCAAGTCCGTACGTTGCGTAGTTTTTGAGATACAGCGATCAGTCAATCAGTGGTATTTGGATTTTATATGTATAGATTTATCTAAATTAAAAAAAAAAATTAAGCGTTAAGAGAAATTGAAAACTTTTTGTTACAAATATATAATTAAATAATTTATCTACACGTGTATTAGCATTTTTAGCCTTAAGAAAATATTAAATAGTTGTTTACTTCCAAATAGTAAAAAATAAATACAAATCAGGTTTATTCGGGTGCGACTCGTTTGCGCACATTTACCTTTTTTACGACACGATTGCGCACAAAATCACAACTCGTTTGCGCACACATATTTTAGGTTTAAATAATAAAGGTACAACTCATTTGAGCATATTTCCTTTCTTTTGCTTAATTTTAATTAATTAATAGACTGTATAAAATAATAATATATATGCATATTGTATATAAAAAAAAATAATATATAAATTAAGATTTAACTATTTTGCATTTCTAAGTATTTATTATATAATTTAACATCGAGCGACCAGATATTGGCGAGAATAAGATATATATACAACAATATAATACAGATAAAAGTAATAACGTCAATGATTATACGCGTAAAAAATATTGTCAATTATTAATTTAATATTACAAAAATTAAAATATTTTAAAAAACATGCATTGTAGGTTTAATAAGTAATAATAGTAGTCTATTAGTTATAAAATTATACTAATTTAGAATGGTGGCATTTAAGTCCGATTTTCTTTATATAAGTTAAACGATTAATAATATTATTTTTATATTCATTCCAAATGTTTTCCAATTGTATCTCCTTATTAATTATCTCTTTTCTTTTGAAATTTATGATTTTATTGTTTATTGAATTAATTTTTAAATCAGTGTCACTTTGAATTTCAATAATGACGTCGATTACTTGATGTATGTGCGGATGAGCAGAGTAAAACTGACTGTTATATTGTTTGTAATAACTCTCTGCACCATTAGTAGTCTTGGGATTATTAGTAGGTTTACAAGCCCATAATGTTGGAGGAAAATTGCTGTCCGATGCAATGTAATTTTCTAAAATATAATCGGAAAATATAGAAATATTACTAGACGTAGTACTTGGTGCTATCGACATAAGATCACAAAATCCATCAGAAACTTCGTCAGGAGGTAAATAACTTAATCCAAAAAAACATTTCATCCATTTGCCAACTTCTGAGTCGTTGTTTAAGTACTCGCTCGATAATAATTTATGTTGTTGAATATGTCTAAACCAATTTTGCCCTAAATGAAAGTTACAACACGTGATTTTGTAGTAAGGGAAAATTTGCAATACTGCATTATGCGCAGATTTTTCAAAGTCGACATGAATATTGCTTAAATTTATTATATTACCAGTAATTTGAATACATATATTTTGTAATGTTTTCCACATATTGATGTAAGTATCAGTATGTTTGTTACTTAAAAAACAAAACGCCACAGGAACATAAAAATTGTTTTTAAATACGTGAATAGTATAAAGTTGAACAAAATATTTCGGAGCGAATGAAAATGTCCCATCCCCAAAAACGTGTTCTGTACTTTGTAGCAATTCCAAATTTTGTTTACATGTAAATATAAATATATTTTCATCATCACTAACGAAAGAAAATTTATTACCTTTGTAAGTAAGATTATGTTGATCATCAATTAATTGTTTTTTAGCATCTTCTAAAGATCTCGGTATGTTTGGAAAGGATTTTTTTCGTTTATCATACATGGATCTTCGAATTAATTTCATATCGCTATATTGAAGATGTTCAGAGTTATCATTGTTTTTCAATTCCCGGCGTATTAGTTTATTTGGTTTAATATGTAAATCCTCTTCAGCTCTACGTTTCAATTTGCTTCTTACTACTTCTCATTTTTTTCCTCGACGCGTTTCAAAAACATCTCAAATTTCGATATCCATAGTCAATACAATTAGTAGTTATAGTACAGCTTTCTGGCGAACGACTGTTTAAAAGTATTACGCTTTCCTAATACACGACGATTATTTTAAATCATTATATATTGATATTGATATGCTGGTAATTTGTGCTGATAATTTGTACCGATAATTCAATTACTTTAGGTAAGTCCAAATTTAAAAATATAAAATACATGTTACTTAGTGATTATGTTGTGCGCTAACGAGTCGTCCGTTTACAGGTAAACGACTGATTTCGTTGTGCGCAAACGAGTCATCGATATCCAGGTAAAAATTTAAATTGTGCGCAAACGAGTTGCACCGGGTTTATTCTATGTATATTTATTTTGATAAAATTAGTTTGTTGTTTGACAAGACGAAATTACGTACAATTAACACATTGATTCAACTTAATACATTTATTTATATATTTATTGTTCTTAAAATTTGAAACATGACAAAATTGGTTATATTGTATGAGTATTAATGGGTAATATTTTTTAATTCTTAAGATATTTAATACCTTCCTAAATGTGACATTTATTGACATTCATTCGACGGATTGTTTTTCAACAAAATTACTTAGCATTGTTTTTGAATTCATTTAAATTAATAACCAAAAGAAATTCATAACAAAACAAAGAAGTTACCAGCATCTTATATTCGTTTAATTTAATAATTTTTATTACGTCTCAATGATAAATTATGCAAAGTATTATAAAACAATGTGTTAATTATGTGCTAAAATATTATTACATCCAAATGTAATATAAATGCATATAAAGGTTATGTAAATAAATTATGAGTCAAGATATCAATAATAATTACTAATATTACCGTAAGTTACACATATAATTACTATAATTATTATAGTAATTATATGTGTAACTTGTATACAAGGTTTAAGAGATATTTGTGATAAACTATTATTTAATTTCATTTAAGTATATCTATATTACATAAATAGATCATTGACAGTCCTAAGTCTGTTAAAATGGGAAGGGAAATGTTAGTACAATGTAGTACTTACCAAAAAATATTTAGGAACTAGTGTAATACCTATAATAATTTAGGATCCAACTAGTGTAGTACTTATAAAAATCCGGGACTCAACTAGATATTACACTACCTGCGATTAGCCCCTAGTATTCGGGACCCAACTCGGATGCTCCGTATGAATCAGATATAATGACAGTGAGAACGGTCTTCCTTTGTAAACTTCTATGCATTTTGTCTTATGAGTTATCATTTAAATATTTAATCAACAAATAGAAACGTTGAAACGTTTGGCAAAATAATAAACACTTACAAATTATAATGAAAACACAAACAGAAGTTTGTGTGCAATCATGTTAAAATGTTCAACAGACGCCGGTTCTATCGTTTAATAAACATCTGAAACTTTAAATACAATACGATGTACAAAATAATCGTATATTATAATCAACGTCATCTACATTAAAAACCAGTCGAAAACATCAAATTTAATTTGCCTTTTCAATTATAGTAAAGATTACGGATTTCTTTTTACATATTTGTAGTCAAAATCTACAGCTATCCACACCTAGACTACCAGGGAGTTTACCAATTGCACTTAAAATGATTTTTTCTTATACTAATTGTGTTCTAAATATTTTAGGTTGATTGACCAATAGCGTCTCAAATATTTTATAATATTGAAGGAAAATATTATTATTATTAGTTAGTTATAATTATATATTAAATAAATACACTAACTAATTTTTTTTCGATAATAAATACTTAATATAATATAAATAAATGAATAATTTTTTTTTCACATTTAACAAGTTATTTTTTTTTGGTAATATTAATACATAATATAATATCAATAAATAAATTCAAATTTAAAATTAAACCAGTTGCATTATAATTCACATTTAATCTTTTTTATAATAATAAATCAATTTTATTAATAATATTTTCATATCTGAAGGTAAGCAAATTTGAATAGCGCAATTGGTATATTGACTGTAAAATATATGGAGCGCAATTGGTACATTGACCCTAAACAAAAAAATTATTTTTTTCAATTCGGGATCCTAGCACCACTATCTCTTTAACCTAGCGGGGGATTATTTTCCCGTATGTTTTCTTTGCTTTGAATGTATGTGACAGTTAGTAATTATATAATGTGTAGTGTATATAAAATGATGAACTCATAAAAACTTATTAAACTTATTTTTTGAAACAATTATAATTAATTAACCATAAAAATATAATTTGAGTTTAGAATACTACTAAAAAATATGCCAGGGCTTATTAAATATTTTTTTACAAGAATAAAATTAATTAAGTAAAAAAAAAAAAATGCTGAGTATACAAAAAAAAAACCCGTTCAAGAATTATGATTTCAATTTATAGCTAAGTCTGCATTAAATATTTTATTAATTTAAATCGTCTATTAATAATTGAACTTAATTTGGTAACACTTAAACCCTTAATTAAACTATTTTCACGATTATTTCAATGCACACAATATGGAATGGAAATATTATAATATTTATAAATTATACTTAGGTCACTAAGCTAACTTCAATTATTAGCAGAAGATTTACATAAATCCGAATTTATAATTTAGACTGAGTTAGAATACTATTTTACAACTTTTAGAGCAGGTTTATTTTCAATACCAAGCGATACTATTTTAACGTAGAGTCTGAGTGGTTTTTATTGGGATAAAATATATTTTAGATTTACGGTGAAAATTGAAAATAAACGCGTTTCTAGAAAATGTATGTAGACGACTACACAAGCTTGCGAGCTGTTAAAGTTGCCTAACAAGTTGATAATGCTATGACGCCTTGTTAAACGCAGAGTCCCCTCTCCCTTTATGATGTTTCCTAACCACTTTTCGCATTGTAGAACAGGGGTCGGCAAACTTTTCGTAGGAAAAAGCTCTTTTTTTTAGAAAAATTTACTAAATCATGATGTCTTCAGAAACAAGCTGTACCGGTCTGAATAACTTTCTGTATATTTTTGCCCCCCTCCAGTCGCACGTACGACCTTTGTGCTCGAAGAAAAAAATTCCGACGCTGAGGGGCGTATCATCCCAGAGAGCCGCAGGTTCCACCGTCATAGAACATTTTCCGAAATTTATCCTAAGAGGAAGAAAAATGTGTGGCCGGCGCACTACGTAAACAATAATAAACGCTTACTGTTGGGACGAACGGACCGTGAACACACGACGAGTTTCTAGATTGCGTAGGCGGGTATCGGTAGTTTTCGCGTACGTTTCGAACGCGGTCCGACATCACGCGAAATATTGTGGCGGTAAGGACGGCGGTGAGCATAACGATTACTCTTTACCAGAGCTATGCTGTTTTGATTTGCCGTCCAATGGCAATGTTAAACATTTCTACCCCTCCCCCATTTATTTAATTGTTTACATGATAACTTAGACGGTAATAAATAGTGTGATAATTACTACAAAAAAAAAAAAATAAATAAATAAATAAATAAAAAATTAAAAAAGTAATCAAACTAAATTTGTATTATAATTAAAAATAATTATTTAATACATGCTACCGGTGGAAATATGGCGATAAAAGTTCTTATTAGAAATTTAAATTTATGTGCCCAACTATTCCTTTATCAACTCAATCAATACTGCATACGTTGTAAACTTGGATAAAAGTTGCAGTATTCTGCCGTGCATATTTTCAATTAATTAAACAGTAATTAATGAATTTGAAGAAAATAATACCATAGCTAATAAAAAAGCGAAAAATTGAATGATGGTCAGAGAAAAGTAATCAAATCTTCTATTTATAAAAGCTAACCATGGAAATATACCAAATTGTATAACTTCTAAAATTATACCTTTAGCTGAGATAGTTGGAGTTAAAAATGATGCCAAAACTTGTACTTCAAATAATTCAAGTAATTATGAAGAAGCAATAAAGAAAAAACTGGAAAATATCTTAGAAAATAATTGTGGTTATACTATAATGGAAACAGTTTTAAAAATTTTAGAAGGCAAATAAGCCTCTTTAACAAACATATCAGGAAAATTAACATCAAGCGATATTTACTACTTTAAATATGTTCCTCAGTCAATACCAACGGCGCCAGTCACAAGTCAACATTTTTAATTTTCAGTTTTTATTTAATAAAATTATAAATTATCTAATAATTTATTAGTAATTATAAGTCTAATAAAAGAATACATCTAAAAAAAATGTATTTGTCATTTTTTAAAGACTTTTTCATGGTAAAATACATTTTTTAAAGACATTTTTGGTTGTTTTTTTAGTACATTTTTGTTCGATTTTTAATGCATTTTAATCCGATCCCTACATATAATCTTATTTAAATGTTAACCTGAGAAGGAATCTATGTTGTTCTGTACCAAATTGTGTATTTCAGAGCGACCATTTAGTGCATTAAAACTGCATTAAAAAAATCGGAAGTTACTCGCGGTTGAGAACGATTGATGACGACTAAGCAACAACGCTACATTAAACATTTAATTAGACATCACAAAAAGTTTAGAGTATGATGACATAATCGATATACTACTAAGTATATAGTTCTTCTAAAGCTAACGAAAAAAAAAAGTGTAAATCGTAAATGTTTATTGCTTTGTAATTAATGGATGATAAAT